CAAGCTTAATGTGTTGTGTGAATGCAGCGGTGTGGCTGACCAGGTTAAAGCCTAACCAAGCTTAATGTGTTGTGTGAACGCAGCGGTGTAGCTGACCAGGTTAAAGCCTAACCAAGCTTAATGTGTTGTGTGAATGCAGCGGTGTGGCTGACCAGGTTAAAGCCTAACCAAGCTTAATGTGTGGTGTGAACGCAGCGGTGTAGCTGACCAGGTTAAAGCCTAACCAAGCTTAATGTGTTGTGTGAATGCAGCGGTGTGGCTGACCAGGTTTAAGCTTAACCAAGCTTAATATGTGAACGCAGCAGTGTGGCTGACCAAGTTTAAGCCTAGCCAAGCTTAACGTGTTGTGTGAACGCAGCGGTGTGGCCGACCAGGTTTAAGCCTAACCAAGCTTAATATGTGAACGCAGCAGTGTGGCTGACCAAGTTTAAGCCTAGCCAAGCTTAACGTGTTGTGTGAACGCAGCGGTGTGGCTGAGCAAGTTTAACCCTAACCAAGCTTCATGTGTTGTGTGAACGCAGTGGTGTGGCCGACCAAGGTTAACTCTAAGCAAGCTTAATGTGTTGTATGAATGCAGCGGTGTGGCTGAGCAAGTTTAACCCTAAGCAAGCTTCATGTGTTGTGTGAACGCAGCGGTGTGGTTGTCCCAAAGGTGATTTTTCAGGAAGGAACTGGACTTTCTTGTTTTTCTTTGAAGACATTTCGCTTCTCATCCCAGAAGCTTCTTCAGCTCTGACTGGATGGTGGGGAATGGAAGGATTTATACTCCTTGCAGACAGAGCTGGTCATTTGCCTTCTTTTAGAGAGTCGTTGAGGCCACTTGGAGGTTTGTCTGTGTCCTCGGGGTCCCCTGAGTGGTCCAAATGGGTGTGGAGCCTTCTTGGGGCTGCTGAAAGGACCGTGTTGTAGACGGGAGATAGTCGGAGTCGTTTCCCCCACTTCCTCTGTTGAGAGAGGGCTCTTTACTTTTGGACCTAGATGGCCACTTCGACCCCTCTTTCAAACCAGACCCCTTTTTCGAACCTCCAAGTGTCCTCAACTGGGGTAGCTGGCTGGGGAATTCTGGGAGTTGCAGTTCCAACAGTCTTCCACCTGCCAAAGTGGAATAAGGCTGGCTAAAATTTAGAGCAATCCGCGCAGCTTTTGAAACCCAGACCTTCCTAAGCAACGATGAGAAGGGGCTGTCAACTCTACCATTGAGCGTGGCTGCGGCCATTTTCCTTCCCGTCACTGAGAAGGCGACAGGTGTCGCCTTCTTTCCCAAATTAACACCTGTGTTACCTTAAAGACCAGGTTGCAAAGGCGGAAGCTGGAATGGCGAAAGGAAAAGGGAGTCCCTCGCCGCAGTTCAGGAAAATGCAGAAGCGCGAGGCCCCGACTTTGATTAAAAGGTAAGGCTCCCTATTTGTGTGTCTTTCTTGGGTCAGTCTGCACACCCCAAGGGCAACTGTCGGGGGGGGGGAAGGCAGTTTAAAAGAGTCAAGATGGTGTCCACATCCATGCAATTGAAGCACTGCTTTTGGGACGAAGGAGCGGAGCTTAATAGCCACAGCAATGGCACTCAGACTTATATACCGGTAGACAGTGCTTGGACAGCCTATCCTCCAAGGCGCCTGAAGGCAGGACAAGAAGCCACGGATGGAAACTGAGCAAGGAGAGAAGCAGCCTAGAACTAAGGAGAAACTTCCTGACAGTGAGAACAATTAACCAGTGGAACAACCTGCCTCCAGAAGTGGTGAAGGCTCCAACACTGGAAGTTTTTAAGAAGAGATTGGGCAACCATTTGTCTGAATGGTATAGGATTTCCTGCCTGAGCAGGGGGTTGGACTAGAAGACCTCCAAGGTCCCTTGCAAAATAATAATAATAATAATAATAATAATAATAATAATAATAATAATAATAATAATAAGAAGAAGAAGAAGAAGAAGAAGAAGAAGAAGAAGAAGAAGAAAGAAGAAGAAGAAGAAGAAGAAGAAGAAGAAGAAGAAGAAGAAGAAGGAAGAAGAAGAAGAAGAAGAAGAAGAAGGAGGAGGAGGAGGAAGGAGGAAGGAGGAAGGAGGTAGGAGGAAGAAGAAGAAGTTGGAAGGGACCTTGGAGGTCATCTAGTCCAACCCCCTGCTCAGGCAGGAAACCTTATACCATTTCAGACAAATGGCTGTCCAGTCTCTTCTTCAAAACTTCCAGTGTTTGAGCATTCACAGCTCCTGCAGGCAGGTTGTTCCACTGGTTAATTGTTCTGACTGTCAGGAAGTTTCTCCTTAGTTCTAGGTTGCTTCTCTCCTTGATGAGTTTCCATCCGTTGCTTCTTGTCCTGCCTTCCGGCGCTTTGGAGAATAGCTTGACTCCCTCTTCTTTGGGGCAGCCCCTGAGATATCAGAAGACTGCTATCATGTTACCCTTCGCTCTTCTATTCATTAGACTAGACCAGGGGTCTTCAGAGTTGGCTGTTTTATGACTGTTGGGCTTCAACTCCCAGAATTCCTGAGCCAGCATGGGGGAACTATGGCCCCTTCATAACTCGTGGACTTCAACTCCCAGAATTCCTGAGCCAGCATGGCTCAGCTTGGAAACCTCTCCCTTTCCCCTCAGCATGGCTGGCTCAGGAATTCTGGGAGTTGAAGTCCACGAGTCATAAAAGAGCCCAGGTTGCCTATCCCTTTACTATAGGGTAGTCCTCAACTTATAGCCATTTGTTTAGTGACCATTCGAAGACACAACAGCCCTGGGGAAAAAAAAGAGACTTAGGACTGGTTTCCCCACTTATGAACGTCGCAGCCTCCCTGTGGTCGCGTGATCAAAATTTGGACAGTTGCCACTGACTCATGGTTATGACGGTTGTGGCATCCCGTGGGTGTCATGTGATTCCCCTTTTGAGACTTTCTGAACAACAGATTCAATGGGGGAAGCCAGATTCACTTAACAGCCGTGTTCCTAACTTAACAACTCAAAGTGATTCCCTTAACGACTGTGTAAAGAAAGGTCGTAACATGAGGAAAATGCACTTAACGATGGTCTGCTCAGCAGCAGAAATTTGGGGCTCAGCTGTGGCCGTAAGTCGAGGACTGCCTGTACTGTCCACTGATGGAAGACAAAAAGCAAGATCTGTTTGGAGAAGATGGCTAAAAAACAAATAGACTTTAAACCAGAATTGTTTTTGTTAGGAATAATAGGAGCCAAGTATGAGAAAGATTGCAGATATCTAATACTACATGCATTAACAGCAGCAAGAATTGTATTTGCCCAACATTGGAAAAATGAAAACTTACCAAATGAAGAAGTACTAATTAAGAAAATTCTAGAGTGCACAGAAATGGATAGATTGACTTTAGAGATTAAAGAGAAAGAAGACTCAGTTTACTTTAGAACATGGGATCACTTTTACCAATGGCTAGAAAAACGAGTCAGAGAGAAAGGAATGTGATATGTAATTTTGAATATATATTAGTAAGAAGAAGGCTTACTAATATATATATATTAGTAAGAAGAGTGATTAATTAATAATAATTAACTATATCTATTATTGTTAGTTAAATACATGTACCCAGATAATATGCTGTTTGCTAAATATTGAAAATGTTACCTGGGAAAACCCCAAACCTAACCCCCAACCCTAACCTAAACCTCAATCCTAATCCCGACCCCATTTTATCCCTAACCCTATTAAAACTAATACAATCTATATAAATAAAAATGTAAATGTTCGTTTGTTCAAAATCTGAAATCTCCGAAAGTTCTTCACCGATTGCTTTGAAATTTTGACACAACGTTGCATTCGAATACGCGCGTGTTTTTATATGCCTATATTATAGAGATGTCACACCTGTGACAGGTAAAAACATGCTTTTTTTAAAAAACAGCACCA